CACCTACGTTCCCCTGGTCGTGCCCTTGCCCCTACCCACGACTCGACACTAAATATTATTACTTGCTTAGTCATAGAAAGATTAGACAAACAACCATTCTCTCTCTGGAAAAAATTTAACCAAGTTGAACATGCAAGATATTTGTGCACCGATTATAGAAGTATACAAAGCAATCATGGATCCAGCAGCTCTCCTTCCCCAAATGCTTATCCTTGTGGTAAGGACGGTCATTCCCGTATTAGCTCGCCTGTCTAGAAGGCCACCCTAGAAGACGATATAGTTAGTTATGTCTATGTTATAAGACCTTTTGGTCTAATTTTGTATTATCAGGACTTTATGGTTCACCCTTAGGTCCTTTATGTAATTATCCATATGTCCAAAGGCCTTTTTTCATGTTTTAAGTATATTATCTAATTCAAGGTTCGGTGGGCCATAATCCCACTTCTTGCAAACTCATGAAACCTCATATTTCCCTCTTTGTGCATTCATCAAAGAAGACTACACACATATACCACCTTGTGCAGGTTCTAGTTTGTATTTTCCAATATGCTTTCATACATTTGTCTAAACAAGTGAAAGTAAGTACCAGCTTGTCATCAATTCCTACAAAACATGAGGCAGTGGGAATGTTAAGGCCCATTCCTTTTTCCCCACACTTGAGTTAATGCATTCCCAACTAAGCAAATCTAACAAGCATAGGAACGCAAGTAACAAATAAACACACAAAAAGACAAGAAAACTTCAAAGACTTACTCAGCCCCAAACTGCAAAAGATTGATGATAAATTGTTTCAGGTCATTAGATACGCTTGGAATGGCATCACCAGCCATCTGCACAACTTTGTAACTTACCTGCAAATAACTATTATTGTGTTAAACTGCGAGCAATAATCACAATTTCAAAGGAAATGCATGAAAGACAACTCACATCAATCAAGCATGATAAGACAGTATAATCAAGCTCTTCCCTGTATGCAACCATTAAAGAAAGCAAAGAGGATAGTGTCTGCTTGCAAGCCGCACAAAGAGCATATGCATCATCCAGTACACCTGACAAACAATAATATATAAGGAATATAAGAAACACAGATAAAGAAATTTTGTGAACTATTGAAATATTTAGCTTTATTATGACTAACCAAATCGATCTGTTGCAGACAAGGAGTTTGTTTCTATTGCTCTTCTAATTCTTGATGCAAGCTCATCATCATATTTCACCCTATAGAAACCAGCTTGATCAATATTGAGTTTAATCCAATCTCCTGATGTGTCCGAACGAGTCCTTTTTCCCATCAAACCAAAATTGCTCTCATGCAATAGCTCTGATAAACCCATATCCCCTACTTTACTTTTTAAGAGGAAGTTTTTGCGAGTATTGTATGAACCATAACATAAAGTTATAGGAACAATCCACTGCCCATCTCCAGTCAATCCACTTGACAAGAAATGTGACTGCACAAAGAGCAAGAAAATTTAGGTATTCATCTATAAAGCAGTCTAACACAACCACAAAACAATTGAAGTAAAAATAAAATATCTATGATGAATATAATACCCATATTGGTCAATGCAACTTTGATAAGAAATGGGAAGTAATCCACACCTTAAAACCCTCATATCTAACAAGGAGCTAATATAGAGATGCCCATAATTTGTTTATTTGAGGAAGAGAACTACTATATCACAGGTCCCAGCAGAAAACTCAATACAATCAGGACACAAACTGAAAATAGTCAGGTATTCTGAAGCACTAGCATTTAACATGTACTTTTACATCACCAGGAATACAACAAAAAACAAACAACCAGTTAATATGTAAAATAACAACCAGTTAATATGTAGCTAAGTGCATCCACAACTTAAGGCAGAGGAGCATATGTGAGGTAGAGTGCCATGAAGAATAAACTTACAGTTGACCTCATAGTTTTCTAAAATAAGCCTTAATACTTTTATAAATCTCGTTACAATGGAATAGTGAAGACCATTGGGCAGCTCTTCCAACTCTGGTGTGATATAATCAAGCTGAGTTTGATGAACATACGGCCATATTGCAAATTAGAATCTCCACAAAACAGGATGGTGCATTGAAGAGGAAAAGCGAAAAGTCATATGACTCAAATTTATACTAGATAGGCCATAGGAAAAGGTCAAGGAAATCAACGAGAAGCACTGAAGTTTCAGGATTTCTTCAACGTGCAATGGACAGTTTGTTCGGTCATATGGAATGAGGACATGGGGGGCTTGAAAAGTAACTTTTATTAGTTAGTGTTGTGAAAAAGTAAGTTTATGTTTATTCCTTCTTATACTTAAGTCCCCAAGGCCTATTTATCGCTTCCCTCACCAAAGGGGACGTTTGTACCCCAAACCTTTTATTTATTAATATAGAAGTATGTAAGTGGGGCATGGAAGTCCAATGGGACAACATTGTGACCCTGTTCTCCTTCTTCCTCCTCAAGTGACTCTCTCTCTCTCTC